TACACAATATTATTGAGATTTTATATACTTATCTTTACAATTTTTTTTAGGTTTAAGACTGATTCCTACAGCAAAAAAGAACTTTAAAATGCTGTTGGCAATAATCTAAAGCCCACACCTGATTTTAAAGAAGGTGAATGACGTCAAGTGTTTGAACAGTCAATTCTTGGAAATTAACAAGTGGATGAAGAAATTAAAAAAAAATTATAATTTTTAAAACATAGCAAACATATATTATTAAAAAGTTTACGTAAATTTTTATTTTTTACTTATTCTCAAAAAGTCAAGTGAAAACATAAGTTTTAATCTTAAGTTTGAGTAAAGCCATGTAAAGACAAGGATTATAGACGTCGAACTGAGGACGGCTATATTAGATTATTTAAAAACATCATTTGGCATGTCCATTTAGCACTAGTTCTGAATGTCATAAATTCACATCTTTTAGGCGTCTGAAAAACATATCTTTATTCTGTCCTAAAAAGACATCCTAACTACGTCCTAAAAAGACGTCATTTCAACGCCATGTGGACATTGCCGTGCCCACTGGGTTTACACATTTTAAAATGACTCCTGTGATTCCATATAGTTTGAGCTTTTTAATAAGAATTTAATGGTCAATAGTATCAATGTATATTCAGATTTATTAAACGACTCGTTAATATTATGTGTAAACTGAAGTATTGCATGCTCTGTGGAGTTATTTTTTGTGAAACCATATTGATTATTAAATAAAATATTATTAACAGAAAGATGAGTGTTGATTTTGTTATATAAGATTCGCTCTAAAATTTTTGAAAATACAGGAAGAACAGAGATAGGGCGATAGTTATTAACATTAGTTGCATCCCCTCCTTTGAATATTGGCATGACTTTGGCAATTTTAAGTTGATCAGGGAAAACCCCTTGGCTAACGCAAAACGAAAAGATTTTAAATAGAATATTTTCAATAAAATTGTAATTTGTACACAATATGTACACAAAATTGTTTTCAATTATTCAATTATTCAATTGTATTCAGTTATTCAATATGCACACAAAATTGTAATCAATAAAATTTCAATATAATCTGTATTTTTTGGGTCTCATCTTGTATTTTTGTATTTTGCCTTCTTGTTTGTGTAAGGTTTGTTTTTTATTTGTTCTGCTTTGCTAATTATTTTTATTTTTGTATGCTGTTTTTATTGAGTGTTTTCATATTTTTGTCTTATTATTTAACTTATTTTAGCTTTATCGCTGCTATTATTATTTTATTCATTTTCTTAGCGATTTTCGGTTCATATTTGTTATTTTTATTATTATACTACTTGTTATAATTAATTGGTGTCACTCATTTTGATCATGAGTGACACTGATGTCATCATATTATTTGTATTATTATAGATATTATTGTTTTTAATTATTATTGTTATAATTATTTGGTGTCACTCCTTTGATCAGGCTTCTGTTTGAGTAACACCTTTCTTTTCTAATAATTATTTATATTTATTCTTATTAGTTATATTTTATTATAATTATATTGTTTGCATTATAGATATTATTATTATTGTTATTATATGATTATATGTAAATTTTGAAAAGGAAAATAAATATCTTGTTGTTGTTGTTTAAGAATTTATAACGACGTTTCCGTAGATACTGTCGAATCCGATTGCTTCAGTTGGTTTAATTGTTTTGAAAGCAACGTCAAATTCCTTAATGGATATTTCAATGTAATTAAGATTTGTTACTTTTTGAAATAAAAATTCATAAGAATTACTAGTATAAGGAATATTTTTTGCTAAGTTAGGCCCCGCTAAAATAAAATGCTTATTTAGTTCAACTGCAATATCGCTTGAAGCATATAAAATTTTATCATTAACTTTAATACCGTTAGGCAAAGCGTGATTTAGTTTTAGCTTTACCAGTGATTTCTCTTAAAACTTGCCAAGTCTTTTTTGAGTTGTTTATGTTTTTTTCAAGTCAAGATAGTATTTTTTTTTTTATTTTTTCTTTTTCTTTCGAATTCTCTAGCATAATTTTTGTAACATATTATCACACAGGTGTCAAGAGTACTATTTTCAAATAAGACTTTAACTAAGTTCTTAGAAGAAAAAACTGTTACTCAGCATGGCTATAATGGTGGAGGACTAGATAGACCTAATTAACAAAAAGTTTTAAGGTCATTAGATGAGATGATAACTGTAGCACCGCTGAAATACCACAAGTGTATTAACACACTAAGTAAATTTATAGCAGGTAAGTATTAATAAATAAAATATTATTAACACTTGAAGATATTAATAAGTTGTATCATTTTATTTGTAGTGACTGAGAGTTGTTTTGGAATGACATTAGTCATTCCAAGTTCTGTCTTATGGTTATAAAATTAAAGCTTTCATCTATTCCATGGACTTCATGAACAACAATGTTGAAGAAAGGTTTAACTTCAGTATGTCACTCAGATGAAAGTACCATATCATTAAATATTTTTTTCCCAATTGCTTACTGCAAACAACTACCGTAATATGGTCAACATTCCTATATTAATGAATGGCAATCCTCTTACTGAGTCGTCCTCTTTACGTCTTCTTGGACTATCGCTTACTACTGACCTTTCATGGAAACCATATATACAATCGATTGCTAAATTAGCTTCTGCTAAGGTTGCTTCTCTTTATCGTGCTCGCCATTTCCTTACTTCTGATTCCATTCTCTACCTCTACAAATCTCTTATTCGTCCCTGTATGGAATACTGTTGTCATATTTGGGCTGGTTCTTCTAACGATTCACTCTCTCTTCTTGACAAGGTCCAAAAACGCATTGTAAATGTTGTTGGACCTGGACTATCTGCTAAGCTTGAACCTCTTTCCCATCGTCGTAAAGTTGCATCTCTTTCTCTTTTCTACAGATACTATCGTGGTCACTGCTCAAAGGAGTTATCATCTCTAGTTCCATCAACTAATTCATTCTCGTTTTACTCGTCATTCAGCTAAGTCTCATTCGTTTTCTGTATCTGTCCCTGCATGCTCTAAAAACTTTTATTCATCTAGTTTTTTTCCTCGCATTTCAATCCTTTGGAACTCTCTCCCATCTTCATGTTTTCCTGACTCATATAACCTTCAACTTTTTAAGTCTTCTGTCAACCGTTTCCTTGCTCTATAACTCTGTTCTTTTTTTTTCCTAGTAACTGCCAACTTAATAGTGGTTGCTTGCAGCCTTGTTGGGAGTGAATGCAAATAAAAAAAAAAAAAAAAAAAATATCACTTGAAAGATTATTTGGAATGCAATCAGATGTCTCTAGGTCTGACATCAGAACAAACCTTAGAAGCTGTTCACAAGAACATTAATAAGACTATCAACAGGTTTAGTATCTCGGAAAGTAATTCTTTTCTTGGAATAAAACTGAGAAGAATGACTGAAACATACAGCTCAATATATATATATATATATATATATATATATATATATATATATATATATATATATATATATATATATATATATATATATATATATATATATATATATATATATATATGCTATAATTTACTTATAAATGTCTTTTTAATCTCTTTTTTTTCATTTTTTTTTTATTTATGTTGGAGATATGAGGTGACACAACTATGATAGTATATTTTTAAACTATTAAAAATATTTGTAGCTATTGTTTGGATTTAAATTCATAAACAAAATTTTTTTTTTTGGCCTTCTAAATTTAATATCAAAATTTGATTAAAAAATTCAACAAAAATAATACATAAATTAAGGGTTGGCGGAAGGAAACAATAAGGGGAAGAGTGCTAATAAATATTATTCAAATTTTATTAAACTAGTTTTAATTGCTTCTATATGGTAATACAACTTTCTAAATGGTAATACAACTATTAACATATAAATGATCTTTTTTCGGTTCGTGTTTTTATCACACTTTTTGGTTATTTTAATTTTTCTAAAAAGAAAAAAATAGAAGTACTTAAATAATAAAAAAAAAAAAAAACAACTTTTAATGGAACTTAAAGTTTCATTAAAAGTTATCATTTAAATGTTATTAACATATAAATGTTATTATTTAAAAATAATATTAGTTTTACAGAGACTTTTTCTTAATTTGGCGTCATTTGCTACTTACAAGATTAAACATTTTAAAATAACAGACTTAAAGGTTGATGGGCAAGGAGGGGAGGGAGCCATAATACATAATAAGTCTTCTACATTTTAAACATAAGGGGGCTGAAGCCTGCTAAGCTCCGCCTGTTCTGCCAGCCCTACTTTTATATATTATCATTATATTTTTAAATTGTAAGATTACTTCTGCTTTATAGTGTTTATTTAAGCTATCTGCAGCACCAAAGACAAAAAGGTTATGACCGTAAAAAATTATCACTATTAAAAATTAAAAAAATCATCAAATTCTCAATTTAGGAGCGATTCTGATTTTGATTTTTGTTCAGCATTAATCTACTAAACCCACCTGATAATTCTGTGAAGAAAAAATCCAGGTACCTTCACCTTCAACCTAAACCCCCTATCTGGGAGCAGTGAGCTATTATGTAACCATATAATATACTGATATTTAACTTTGATATAGACAAATTAGTGAGTTTAACTAAAATATCATGAGCGAATCACCAATTGTTTTCAAATTATATATGATTATAAAATTTTAAATTTCAAGCAAAAGATTCTAGATTTTAAGAAAAAGTTTAAAAGATGTATTTAGCAAAGTTAGCTGGTAAAGCTGTTGTAAAAATGTTAAATGCAGATAATCATCAAAATTGTTATTTAAATTAAATATGTTTTTCAATATTTTATATGTTTTAAAAAAAAATGCTATCCCAATAACATAAAATGAAATAAATAATATACGATAACACCATTATAATGCCATCCTAACTTAACATTAATTGAAATATCCATCATAAAAATAACAACCACTAAAAAACCAACACACTGCAAAAAAATATTCCAGCTAGTGAAAAAACATTAAATAATAATTGGTATTTTTTATAAAAAGTGTTTACTTTGTATTCTTCTGAAAGAGCATAATTACTATCTTTTTGCAACCAATCCCAATGTTTGGGGAAATCTTTCAAGCTGATTGGTGGATGATTAGAATCAATAACAATAGCATCAGCTAACTTTTTATCTGAAAGAACTTCAGTTTTTTTTTGTTGTACCTCAAGTTGTAACCTTGCCACTATAATTAAAATAAAAAGTAAAAAAAAAAAAAAAATTAAATAATAAAAAGGTAAAAAAACAAGAACACAAAATTGGAAAAAATTTTGTAGCATTATTATTTCCTTGAAATTTAAAAACTAATAAAGAAAAGTAAAACTACCAGAGGGTTGCTCCCTATCAATAGGTTGCTCCTCATCAAAATATTGTCCTTTATCTAGGTTCTCATCAAGAATATCTGTTAAAGGATTTTCAAAAGCAGAAACTGGTTCAAGTGTTTCAAGATTATCGCATTCTTCTTCTTTTTTGAATTTGTAAGGTATTCCCTTTATATTGTCATGCTTTTTCTTTCTAAATATAATATACTTAAAATTAATTATTTAAAAAAAAATAAAAATAAAAAATTATAAATATCATTTTCAACTATAAATTATTAGGAGTAAATTGGGATCTTAATATCAAAAAATATGCAGTAATATCAAATAATAAGATTAATAAATATATAATAATATAAATCCAAAATGCATCTAAATTATCAACAATAAACAAAATTACTTAATTTATTAAAACAAATTAGACAATATTATTAATTAGATATAATAGGTTTGCTTATTGCAAAAAACTTTTTTCTAAATCATCTTGAAATCATCGAATGATCAAACTCTTGTCGACATTCCAGAGAAACAGGTTGAGCTGTCGTTAGACATCAAAATCACTTTTGTAGCTCAACTCTTTTACAGCTTGAACTCTTCACAATCTTACAAAAAAGTTTTCCAGAACTTTCTTTAATCTTTTCAAACTTCTAAATTATTTAAGAAGTCCCTAACTGAATTTTGTTTTCCTGCTAGAAAATGGCATCTGAAATTCCAATTTTTCAAAACTCTGAAAATCCATATTGTTCTTCTAACTAACACACAATCAGACTTCTTAGTATTATTAGCAGGGTTGGGGTGTAACAATGTAAATTTACTTTTTTTACTTTTTGCAGTATTTCTACATGTAACAAGTTACATTTAAAATTTTACTTTTAGTTTTACTTACCTTTACTGACTTTTCATTACTTTTTGGACTTTGAAAAGGACTTGAACTTTTATGGTTCAAATAAACCATAAAAAAAAACCTACCGTAAAAACAACCGTGAAAATACATATGATATCACAAAACTGATACTAGTACTGCTTGACATTAGATTCTAGCCATGCATCAAGTCATATGGCTGCATATTATTGCCCAAGATATGCAACCTCAGCACACAATGTCAGTTCTCACTTTTTATTTGAAATACTATTCAGAAATAATCATGACGAAATGCAGCTATGCTGTTTGTGCAGTTTTCTCGCTCCGGGTGTAGAAAAGTGTTTTTGCTTTTGGTGAAAAATTTCTTTTTTACAGTACAACTTATTTATAAAACACATTTTTGCGTAAATTTGTGTGGTGCGATGGTTCATGGGTGTTAACATTAGCGGCTGCTGAAACACATCTGATCTTGAATAATAACAGTTATATGTTAACAGTTGTACTACCATTTAACAACCTATAGGGTTAAGAAAATATTGAAGCAATTAAAACTAGTTTAATAAAATCTGATAAAAACATAATTACATATGGATGAATTGAATATATGTTTTATTTTAAGATGATTTAAAAAATTATTTCTTGTATTTTTATGATTGATGCGTTTATTTTGCCGCGCGCAAAAGTAATTTTTGCTTTTTGGCTAAAAAGCCTGTTTAAAGTACTGTGCATTTTTCTTTTAACTTAAGTATTTTTGTCTAGCAATAATTTTTTACTTTTACTTAAGTATTTTGGCAGTGCTTTCTGGCGGTACTTTTTGCCTGTTTGCTTTGTTGCTTTTAAAGTCAGTAATTTTAAAATGTAACAATCCCAACCCAGATCATCAACAAGATCTTTTATTAACAAACTTCTAATAGCTCGTTGAGTTCAGCTCTTTGACAATAATTTGGATTTCAGTTCTTTTGTTCTACCAGCAGTAGTATGTATATTAATGTTGTTTGGTGGTAAATTTCAGTGTATAAACTATAATAAATAAGTATGGAAATAAATATTTTTTGGACACAACCTTTTTTGTAAATTATTTTATTTTTATGTGCAACTTGTAAAAACTGCATTTTAGCAACCATACCGCCTGGTGACTTTTCTGTTTAGTTGCTTGGCTTTTTCTTGGGTGCTCTTCGTTGGCTTTTGTTTTTTTAAACATTACGGTTGTTTATTTTGTATTTAATGAGAATGTTAGTATATATCATAAATTTATTATATCTGCAGCTAGTATTTTGTTTGTATAGTTTTGATGTGTATGCTTGTATATGTTTTCGGTTTGGGTGGAGCTGTGTTCTGTTGTTGGCATGTCTAGTTCACGAAAGGTTTGTTAGTCTTGGTAAAAGACAATCTTTTGATAAGAAACAACAAAAAAACTTTTTTTTCTTTTGAAACAACATACTTTTACTTTTACTTTTCTTTAGTTATAATTTAATAGTAAAAACTTTTGCTAATATATTTTTTTCAATTTTGTTTTAGTTTGTTAGTACAATTAACTTGATTTTTTTAATTTTGTTTTGAACAGGAATATTTTTTAAACAGACAATTAAAACTTTATAAGCTTTTAATTAAGGGACTGTAAAATTTAGACTTAATGTCGCCCTATTTGAATTTTGGAAAAATTTAACAGAGTTGATAGTGAGAATTAATGGAAAATTTTTACAATATTTGAATTAATGCAAAGGTTTTACAATATTTGAATGGCAACTGTCTCACTCAGTCCTCTACTTACATTTTTTTGGATTATCATTCACTCTGGCTACCATGACTTTCTGGCACACTTATTGCTACCATGACCTCTCATGGTAGCAATATTTACAATCAATTGCAAAGTTGCTTCTCTTTACTATACTTGCCATTTTCTTACTTCCTAATCCATTCCCTGCCTCTAAAAATCTCTTATTTGTCCCTGTATTGCTATCATATTTGTGTTGTTTCTTTTAATAGTGCTTTTCTCTGCAAGACAAGGTACAAAAACGCATTTTCAATGTCGTTAAATCTGCTTTATCTGCTTTACTGTATCTGTCCCTTCATGTTCCAAAAACTTTTATTCATCTAGTTTTTTTTCTTGTACATCAATGCTTCGGAACTCTCTAGATTGTATGAATTTTCCTGACTCATACAATTACAACTTTTCAAGTCTTATATCCACTATTTCCCTACTCTTTAACACAATTCTTTATTTTCTAGCAATTTGCAACTTTAATGCAGTTGCTTGCTGCTTTTTCTAATAGTTTAAAAAAAGGGGCATATCCTTTTTGGAAAACAAGGGATATTTTCTGCACCCTAATATATTTTTTTACAGGTCTTTTCTGTCAATCCTATTCACTTGAATAAAGGCACAATAGACAAAAACATATTCAAGGACATCATTAAAGATGTTATGCTGTCACATGCTAAAAAGAAAATGCCTTGAGGATGGATATTTCAGCAGGACAATGACCCAAAGCATACTTCAACCTCAATAAAAAAACATAAGTTTCATTTTTGATCAAAACCAAAATGTAGTTTCATCAATAATCTTGAAACTAGAATGGGAAAAAATTGACATTGTTGTGATTATCAGGCTTGTGGAACCACAAGCCTGATAATCACAACAACAATGCCTTTCTTTTTCTCTACATTTTTAGGTGTATTTAACTGCTGCTTTGTTATAAATTTTTTTTTTTCATGTTTCAGTTTTTTTAAAGCAGACGCGCAAGGACGATTAAGTGGTCAAAATTAATTTTTGCGTTGTTTTTGTTTAACAAATTTTTATATGATTTTGTATTTAGTTTATATGATTTATTATACCAATTCATAAACACCCCATATAGACGCCACAGGTTTTCTACAATGTAACTTATAAGCGTAGTTTAAACGCAATTTGTAATTCTTTTTTATTCTGATTCACTCCCAACAAGACTGCAAGTCTTGTCGGATTCCAACTTAATAGCTCCACTATTAAGTTGGAAGTTACTAGGAAGTAAAAAAAAAGAGTTAGATAGCAAGGAAAAGGTTGACAGAAGACTTAAAAAGTTGTGGATTATATGAGCCAGGAAAACATGAAGATGGGAGATGATGATGATGCATGCAGGGACAGATATAGTGAACAAATAGACTTTGCTGAATGACAAGTCAAAAAAGAATGAGTTTTAGTTGATGGAACTAGAGCAGCGACCGTGGTAGTATTCGTAAAAAAGAAAAAGAGATGCAACTTTATGATGGGCAAGAGGCTCAAGCTTAGCAGATAGAGCGGGTCCAACTAAATTAACAATGCATTTTTGGACATTGTCTTGAAGAAAAAGACCATCATTAGAAGAACCAGCTCAAATATGACAACAATTTCCATACAGGGACAAATAAAAGATTTGTGGAGGTAGAGAATGGGATCAGGAGTAAGAAAATATTGAGCACAATAAGTTAAAGCAACTTTAGCAGATGCTAATTTAGCAATTGATTGTATATATGGTTTCCATGAAAGGTTAGTAGTAAACGATAATCCAAGAAGACTTAAAGAAGAGGACTCATTAAGAGGGTTGATTGGGATAGTTGTTTTCAGTAAATAACTGACATCACTCAAAACAAACAGACTCAGTAAGAGGGTTGACTGATGATAGTTGCTTGCAATAAATAAACTACATTAATCAATTTTCAAAAATAGTGTGTTATAAGTTATGGGAGTAAAAAAACAACAACAATTTATTGAACTTCAAAAAGAAAAAAAAGAAATTGGGAGGTAATAGGACATTCTGGATAAGAGTATTAAAGTTATACATATATATTGTATCTGTTTGTACATATAGTATTTATATGTACAAACCGTCATATGCGGACCTAACTGCCGACCTCAAACACTTTCAGGTCGGCAGTTAGGTCGGCATTACCGAATGCCAACCTTAATTCCGAGGGTTGTATATATATAAAACCCTGTGCTAATTTGACTATTTAGCTAAGGTTGGGTTCGAAAATAAAGCAAATTTGAGAGTCAGGTGTGTCATTTTAGAGTGATGTGAACATCTGTTTAACAATATTTTTTTTGTAAACGGGGTTGATGTACCACAGTAAACTGACCCTGAAATAAGCAACAACATTTTACAACAAATTTTTAATAAATTCAAACATACAGCCAGTTTCTAAAATTGCTATCAAGTTGTTTTTGGCCTATTGAAAGCTATGAGAGAAATTGTAAAAAGACTGACTTAAAATGTCCTAGATTTTCTGAAACAATGAATAAGTAAAACTAATTTGTACAATTTTTATTGTCTACATAAAAAACAAATATTGTTTTACGTGTACAAAAAAAGAAAAATAATAAAATACTATACAGATGTTTGTCATACAAGGTGCATTTAACAAGTGACTTCTATTTTAATGAAAAAATAATTATTAATTTTTTTAAGCAATTCTGATAAGTACTTTTTGATATAGCCTAGAGCTTTACCAAAAAGCAATATATTTGTCCTTTTTATTTTTTTTTATTTTCAGTTTTGTAAACATAAAATAGTCACAGGGAGCCAAACAAGGTGAATGGGACATGAATATGAATATGATAGGACATGATTTTGATGGGACGTGAATATGATGGGATTTTGCTGGAACATGATTGTGCTGGGACTGTGGTGTTAACTTTCACCAAAAAATCTCTCACAAGCAACAATGAGTAAGTGCATTATAGTGATAAAAAAGCCATGTATTGTTTTTCCACAAATTTGTATGTTTTAATATTTATTTGGATGCGCTACTCCTGGGTAATCGAAGCAAACAGTAAACAACACTTTAATTTTTGATAACACTTGGCATGCTTTTTTCGCTCTTACTTCTCCTGGGTCCTTCCATTGGGGCAATTGGATTTTGGTTTTAACTTCATAATCATATACCTATGATTCATCACCAGTTGTGATCTTTTTGATTAAATCAATGTCATTATTAACATCATTTAACAGCAATACTCATGCAATGGTTCTTCTGGTCGAAATTAAGCAGTTTTGGAGCAAACTTTGATGATACACACCTCATGTCCAAAAAATCTGAAAAAATTGCATGGCATGAACCAACTGATATGCCAACATCCTCAAATAGTAATTCAACAGTTATTCAAAACAATTTTTTTTTTTTCTGCTTTAACAACTTCATCAGATGTTGATGCGCTGGGATGCCCAGAGCAAGCTTTGTCATTGGCATCTTCTTGGCCATCTTGGAAGTGCTTGTACTACTTGTAAACATTTTTGCAGACTCACTGTCAACATTTCAAGTGTTTTGGAGCACTTAATTCTAGTTTTAACACAAATTTGAAGCATATCTTAATAATATATATCTTAATTATAATCTTAGATCCATTTTTTTATATAACAAAAAATAGCCAATCACACCAAAACACAACTAATATTTTTATCTATAAATAGAAAACTTAACAAGCTATACTCTTTGGGACATGTCTACATAAACATAACAATACAAAAAAAAAATTTAATCAAATGTATAAAGTTTGCGATATTTGAAAAGTCACTTTACTTTTTGTACACTATTGTCAGAGCCCCACAAAATAATGATTTTAAATTTATGCTTAAAAAAAAATTATACAGTATCACATGGGTCACCAGCCGATAGTTGCTAACTTATTGATGATCAAAACCATACCAATGATTATTAGTATAATAAAACATATAAACAAAAACACTGATAAAAACAAACACATTTGTTTTGTATAAACCATTAAAACCTATTTACAAACTTGGATTATGGATTCGCAAAATTTACGCTATACTTTAAAGTATACTATACAGTAAATTGTGTTTTTAATTTTTAGTAAACCGTATACTAGCAATTTCTACTGTACACACATAAATGCTGCAAACATTTGGCAACTTTGAACAAAGATAGCCGAATTTCAATGTGATTGTGCTAGGTTCTTTTCAAAAATTTTCAAATTTTTCAAAAAGTTTTCTTTCATAATTTGCTAAGGACATGTCACAAATAAACAGAAAAGTACTTTTTATTTTAATATTAGATCTTTAAATTTCAATATTTGATTTGATACAAATTAAAAGTTATTTATTATCTGTTTACCGCCCATCTGTAGTCAGTTATGAGGGTGGTCAAATAATGGATCTGAAAATTTCAAAAATTTAGTCATTGCCCAGGATGGTCAATTACTTAGTAATTCCTTTGTTTATTTTAACTCATTGTAATACACACCATTTTTTATTAAAAATATTTTTAACAAAAAAAAGCAGCTAAACTAATAAAAAGCAAATGGAAGAAAATGAAAAGTTAGCAAAAAATAAAAAAAACATTATGAAGAGTCAGACACATCAATTTCCATTCCTGATCTTAGCAATGGTGAAGATTCTGACTGGTACAGAGATTCTTTAGATGAAAATACAATAACTCTAGAAAAGGATGACTTTATTTGATGTAACTGTAAAGTATGAAGGGAGCCATTTTCAGGAAAAAAAGTGCGAGTGTGGCCGATGGCTATGAGATAGCCGCAACTGTTAATAATGGCATTTTCATCAATATCATCTCTTGATTCCACTAATCGCGTACTACCTGATAGAGCTAACAAATAGATTGATCCATTGCTTGATATTTGTATCACTTCCACTTTTATGTCTAAGGAAATCACTTCCTGCTTAAACTCTTCAGCTCTGAACCTGTTGTAGTCTTGCAGAAGTGTTTTCCAAAGCTGTAATCTATACTTTCAAAACTATTTAACAAATGCTTATCAGAGTCTTGTCACTACTCCAAGCGTCATCTACCCTTCATCTTTTAGGATTGACTCTTACTTCCAATTTTTCTTGGAAACTTTATAGCAAATCCATTGCAAAATTAGCATCTGCTAAGGTTACATCTTTTTATTGTGCTTGATTTTTTCTTATTTGATTTTTTCTTTATCTCTATAAGTCTCAAATCTGTCCTTGTATGGAACACTGTTACCATTGCTGGGGTGGATCCTCCAATGATGCCTTTTCTCTTTTAGATAAGGTGCAAAAACGCGTTTTTGCAACCTTGCAACCTGCTCTTGCAACCAACCCCCAGCAATTATCAAATTATTGTAATGTTGCTTCTTTTTCTTTTTTCTACAAATACTATAATGGGCACTGTTCTAAAGAGCTAGCATCTCTTGAGCCTTCTACAAAGTTCAATTTCATGTTACTTGTCATTCAATTAAGTCTCATCATTTTTCTGTAACTATTCTTAAGTGCTCGAAAAACTATTATTTGTCTACCTTTTTTCCTCAAACATCAGTTATTTGGAACTTGTTTCCTTCTTCTTGCTTTCTTGATTTATTTAATTTACAATTTTTTTAGTAGTCTGTCAATGGTTATCTTGCTCTATAAACTCCAACTTTTTTTATCTAGTAACTTTTAACTCTAATAGTGGTTGCTTGCAGTCTTGTTGGAAGCAAAGATGTCGTAAAAAAAAAAACTTTTAATAAATAGTCTTTTTCTAGCGTCTCTTGTACCATTGACTAAAATTCATTCTTGTGTTACTTGTCATTCAAGTAAGTCTCATCCTTTTTCTGAGACTGTTCCTAAGTGCTCCAAAAATTCTTATTTGTCTAGTTTTTTTCCTCTAACATCAGTTCATTGGAATTTCCTTCCTCCATCTTGCTTTCCTGATTCATATAATTTTCAATCTTTTAAGTAGTCTGTCAAATGTTATCTTGCTCTATAAACTTCATCTTTTCTCTTCCAGTAACTTCAGACTCTAATAGTGGTTGCTTGCAGTCTTGTTGAAATCAAAAATGTTGAAAAAAAAAATTTCTATTTATCAGTAGCCATATAAAGAAATTAAGCGTGAATATACAAGCAGGGGCTATTTTCGACCCTTTTTGACAGATTTGAACGTATTTGGGCAACATTTAGACGCCGCCCAAATTCAGAAATTGAGGAACTTTTTTTTATCATTTATTATTTTTATATTTCATACAGCAAATATAGTTTTTTTTGCACAAAAAAATGCCAAATAACAGCAATTTTTCTGCCAAACTCCTTTACTGCAGGTTCCAGTATGGGGTGTATCACTGTTCAAAATATTTTCCTAGAACAGCCCCTGATAAGAGAACAAGTGCAAAGAAAAATCTGCTATCTAAACTTGTGTTCTTAATGTAGGTCATACCTTATATTAAAAATTAACGCTTATTCATCCTTTCATTTGTGTTGTATTTGAGTTCACTTAAATAATATTAAATTTGTTTTTGCAATGTTATATATATTATTGAAATAAAATAAAAAAATATCACAGCTTTCAATATTCTCTCATTGAACATATGTTCAAATAATAAAGCAAAGATTTTTCAAATACTGTTAAAAAAAATATATTTTCAGATTTTTTTTTTATCAATTACCAATGTAAAATTAATCTTTAAAAAAACAGCATTGAAACATGAAAAGTTTGTAAAAAAAAGTTTGTAAAATATTAAAATATTGATTAACAGTATGCTAGAAGATAGTATGGATAAGTTGTTAGAACTATTGAGACTTTATAATTGGTAAACAACCTTAAAGATATGGCAGTCATACGGAGTTCTTTTTTAATTTAGTTGCAAATAATAAGAAAAAAAATTATTTCTATAAAAAATATTGTAAAGCCATTTTAAAACCCCTTAAAATTAAATTTAAACTTTTCATTTTCCAAAACTATATATTTGGTTTAAAGAATTTTTATATCATTTAAAAAATTTATTGAACAATTTTTTTTGAATATAAAAAAAAAAAAAAAAAAATCAGACCTGGAGCAGAAAACACTGAATTTCTATTTTTAATAAATTGCAAAAATATTTACATAAAGTAAATACAATACATAATTAAAATTAATGCAGCACCTTTTACGTAAAATACCAAGAACAGCTAGAAGAACAATTACACATGCAACAGTGCCAGTCACGCCACCAGTAACTCCAGAACTTGTACCACCTTTCTTTATATTTTTTACTAAAAAATAAAAATAAAACAATAAATCAAAATTTAAAAGATTTTTTTAAAACTAGAAAAAAGTTTAAAAAAAGTTTTTAAAAATTAAAAAACTTAAACTCCTTGTCTAAAATTATACTGTATAACATATGATGGAAAAAAATCATTTATCAAAAACACCATAGTTATGGTATTATTACTATGCATGGTCATAATAACAGCTGTCAACATGTCAAAGTCCTAAAAGTTTATGTATAACAACCACACAACAATGTTTTGTTTTTTTACAGGAAAGTTATCAGAAAGCTTTCTGATGATTCTTGTATTAAAGAAACTAAAAAAAAAACTCAAAAAATCAGGATCCCCAAGCGAATGGAGGACTTAACAGCAAAGATTACACCAAGATGATGTCAGACGTGTGAAAAGTTTTTGGACGATGAATTATACTTCACTTTAACTCACTCGCATATCAACAGCAACAATACTTTTTACTCCAACTACTCATGCAAGCGTCAAGTATGACCTAACAGCTAATTATAACAAAAAAATGATCGTCTGGTTTTGATTTTTAGAGCATTGCATTTTAAAGCCTTTCTTCATCCCAATCAGCATAGGAATCAACCAGCTGCCCTACTTAAGCAAATGTATTTAAAAGAGATTAAAGGCATTTATTACAGAGCATCATTCAGATAATAAAATATTTTGGCCTGACCTAGCATCAGCGCATTACGCAAAATCTATCATTTCCTCCCTGGAGGCCAAAAAGGTGAATTTTGTACATAAAAAAGTCCCCCAAATGTCTCAGAGTTGGAAATTTCTGAAGCATTTTAAAAGGCAATGTCTATGTAATGAATTGGCAGGCAAAAATTTTAGATATTTCGCACAAAAGGTTTGAGAAATGCCTCAAAGAAGTTGACATGGTTAACGTACAACTTTAAGCATGTCAACTTTCCAGCTCATGTTTGATGATCATGAAACTTTTTGCAATAAAGAATGTGATGTTATAATTGAATTTTTCTAGTTTTTTGAAAAATATAAAAAAATGTGGGAGTAACATCTCTTTAAGCTTTGTTACATTTTCAACTTGCCACCTGTAACATATATATACATATATATATATATATATATATATATATATATATATATATATATATATATATATATATATATATATATATATATATATATATATATATATACATATATATATATATACATATATATATAAATATATATATATATATATATATATATATATATATATATATATATATATACATATATATATATATATATATATATATATATATATATATATATATATATATATATATATATATATATACATATATATATATATATATATATATATATATATATATATATATATATATATATATATATATATATATATATATATATATATATATATATATATATATATATATATATATATATATATATATATATATATATATATAAACCATAGCCGCAAAAATATAAAACTACTTACGTAATTCTTCTAAGGAAATTTTTTTTTCGACTTTTTGATATATTCCTAGTCGATTAAATGCTATCAATTGGAATGTGTAAGAAGTATATAGTTTTGCATTATACATTACAGTGTTTTTAATGCTAGTTTTGTTGTCTAGTATTATCTTGTTAGAACCATCATGTTTTATTAGCAAGAAGTTATAAAAAACTTGGAAATCTCTTTCAATTTGTTCAGTTGTCCATGTAATATTTATCGAGAAATTAGTTGCAACGATTGTTAGATTAGGTAAATCAATTTCAGCTGTAAAATAATCAAATATAATAAGATGCATATAGTTTTTACAATTTCAAATAAAAATAAACTTATGAATATAAATATTATATACTTAAATTTACAGTTAAAAATTTATATTTAAAAAAATAATTACTTTTAAGTTCTTAATATGAACCTCTTACCATTAAAACCATAGTATATTAATGTTGTGTTTGTAACAAATAAATTAGAAACTGTGTAGCCTGTACTTATAGAGTAGTAAAAAAAACAAGACACATTTTTTTTATCACCATGACATTGAGTATCATCATTATCAATATTTAAATGAACTAAGGGATTTATCTCTAATTCTGATGTGTAGGTTCCATTGACATCTGTGGACCTATCACTAGTTTTTATAATGTAATGTATTTTATTGTCAACAATAATTTCATTTTGTTTTCTCCACTGAATAAGGAGACCCGGTTGACCAATCACAACACATTTAACAATAGCAGTTGAATTTTTGATGTTAAATACAAGTTTAGGCATAGTAATGTTTGGTGGATAAGCTAAACAATAAACATGAAGTAATTATAAAAAAATATATGAATATAAAAACACATAAATACAAAAAAGTATATATAAACAACCAATCAATTTTTTTTATTAAAAATAAAAATAACCAATCAATTTTTCATAAATCCTAATTTTCAGTTTAAAAGTCACACTTGGTTTTGCAATAAAGTTATCTTAACTCACTTATATTATCACCAAGAACTTCAAATCTTCCAGTTGCAGTGTGATAAAATTTTATATTTACTATTCTTAAACATTGCACTGAAATTTCAACAGGAAATTGGCTCACACTTGTAGCATATCGATTTTTTGTTCCATTAAAACGATACTAATTTGAAAACAATATCAAAATTTTAAATTTTAGAATCAAAGATCAAAGAAAAAATAAAAAAAAAGTTTTTTTTTCTAGCAAATTACAATTGGGCTTAAACGTAGCAATAACAAATAAAATAAAACTTTTTTTTCCTACTTTTTTTTTTAAGGTTGTAGTAAAAAAAATAAAACCAAAATCCATACTTATTATCAAAAGTTATTAAAAATTATTATTTGAATTAATGAGTAACCATCACAAAAGCTATAAAAAAAGATGGTAGGTAGGTGGTGATTAGGAAACAAAGATGGTAGGAAGGTTATTATGAAATAAATTTGGAAGATAAGTAGGTAACTAGCTAGTTTAAGAAATGAGAAAATCATGAAAATTGATTTGGATGAATAAAGGGTTTTAAGTTCATAAAATTCTCCCTAATATAATAAACTAGATAAATAACAATCAGTAGAGAGACAGAAAATGGACCAACCCAAAGAAATTACGAGTAAAATTGCAAAAATCCCAGTCAGACATAATTTAGTCAAAATATAAAAGATATTTAATTTTTAAAATGATA